ACGACAGAAATCATCAATAGTCACTTATATGAAAAACAGGAAGGCCTATGGAGAAGACGGGATACCACCGGAGTTACTCAAAGCTTGCTTACCAACTCTGATAGATCCTCTGCACTCTCTTTTCCATGCCATACCTACAACTCTTCAAACCGCTGTGGAATCGATGCGAAATAAGCTTAAACAATAAGCTTCGGGTTTACCAGGCTTGTATCCGCCCGATCCTAACTTATTCTTGTGAAACCTGGCTACTAAGAGCACAAGATATAAGGAAGCTCGAAGTCTTTGATCATTGGTGCTTACGCCGCATCTTGAAAGTAAATTGGAGAGATCGGATTTCCAATGATTAGGTTCGACGGCGCCGCTTGAACGTTGACAAACTTTCAAAAATGCTACAACGCCGGTGCCTTCAGTGGTTTGTTTATGTGCTCCGAAGACCCGACACTCAACTCTCGCGACAGGCAGTAGCCCCCGCACCATGCCGTGGATGGCGTTGCAGACTCGGTGGTCAATTGAAGACCTGGAGTAGTACGATCAAGGTGGATTTGGAACTACTGGGTCTTCAATCCGTATATGGAATTCGCAACTGGAACCAGAACTGGGTTTCGCACTGCGTCAACCTTGCTACCGATCGTCATGCATGGACCATCATCATTAGAGACATCCAGGAAGCCGACTAATCCTCCCGCAAGAGTTAGTCGATCAAAAGTAAAAAGTAAGTAAGCACCATTAAATGTTGCTTGTGGCGCAACAAGATATGGATGACCGGTTCTTTCAGCCATGGACCGGTATCAAGTACATTGGCGCTTTCAAAGCGAACTTGTAAACTCTTTGAGAAAACTGCATGCCAGGTGAAAACCCGCTACTTTTTGCTTCTCACATACATTTGCCTATTGCAAAGGTTTAAACGATGTTTCTTTTTGCCGATTGTAATATGTTTGCTTTGTTTGTTTGAAAAGCTCCATAACCTCCACGGGATTAAAACCCGCGCAGGGGCGCCACCTACGCTTTTTGTATAGCGCACACTGTTCCACTTGAGCCAGGAGGCCAGACCAATAGCACTACATTAGTACTTTCTCGCTCAAATGACTAACATTGTAGAGCCTTCGCCATTCTTTTAGAAAATTGGCGATTGATGGGCGACAGAAGAGATCAAAGTTATGACAAAGAAATACCATATGAGCATTCTGAACGTAGTAGCATTGTGAAACACAGAAACCAAGCGATAAATAAATAAACAAGTGATATTGGAAAGTAAGAACATGGCGGGTTCGAAACGCATCAAAATTGTTAGTCAAGAAAAGGATACTATCCCTATTTTCAAGGTGCCGGAAAAATGGGGCATTAGCATATGTTGAACTGTTAGGAACCAATCAAATAGCCTTCTCAGAGATAGTCAATCTATCCAAACTTCCAGTTATCCGGAGGTCATAAGAACGAATCGCCTCAAGAAATAGAGACAAAAATACAGAGCACGGACGACCGTACATATGCAGCAGTAGGAGTGGAGAACAAGGACAGTATACCGGACTTACGCTCGACGAATTCCTTGACTGATTTTGAAACACGGCTCGGAATATTGCAGCTGCGCCGGCCGCACTAAGACGACTCTGAGATCCAACATTATTTCGCTGAACTCCTTTACACTGATGGTCCAATTCGTTGCGATGGCCCATACAAAAATTCAGTCCACATTGATCACAACGACAGGCTACCAATTCCCGTTTTTTGCAACGAGGGAAGGAGCAAGCATTGGAAAAGATCTAACAATTCAAAATGAATAACGGTGAAACTCATATTGTACGATGAACGAGCAATATTTGAAACCACATTCATAGAAACCGGTAGACTGAAAATAAATTACCTTGCCCTTCATCTCTAGAGCAGGTTTGGATTGGCATGCTGTATCAATATGGTGGCCGACACGGACATCTGGTAATTCACCCGGACGAATGGGAACAATGGCATTGCACAAGGGACAGACGGGTACTTGCTTGTCACGAATACCTGGATTGGTACAGGTATGATTGTCGTAAGGATAATGGTCTTTGCAGAAAAGTTTGTGACAACCCTCGCATTTAACGGGAAGGAAGTCTAAAACAAATAATTCTTCGTGACAGAGGAACATACCAAGTCTCCGACAGGATGCATAAGAACAATTAGTGCCCAAATGTGGAAGCTCCATCAGTGGACGGAAGAAGAACAAATTGAAAGTAAATGCTGAGATGCGATGACAGAAATGTCGTGGGACCAAATCAAAGTCTGAAGTGAAAAATAAAAGGTTTCTTTATCAAACAAAACATTTTATTTATTTGCAAACGAGCTTCACTGTCAATAAAAACAGCAGCAAAAATCGCCGCAAGAATGCAAACGGTTAGCGGTGGTTTAAACTGAAACTGACATGTTGGTATCAGTTCGCCTTTACCCGTAATAAGTTCAGTGTATCAACCAATCTAGCAAGCAACTGGAGCACAGTGAGAATGGTTAAAAGTAAAGGAGGTTGATCATACTAACGTGGTCTTTCATTATATATACCACATATATATATACTACATGTATGTGTACACTATATACTGTGCAGCATATATATATATATTTCACACACGTTTGACTCCAGAAAGTGTGCCAAACAAATCAAAGAACAATAATCTTCATAGAAAATGTTGTGGTTACGATACTACCAGTTAAGGACACAATTTGCGCATCTAGCGGTCGCCTATCGTACCGTGTCTTATTTGTAGCAGTCGCTGCAGACTGCAGAAAGCCACGTGGAGGCCATCAGATAAGGTGGAGACGAGGCATAAAAAATACACCTAACGATTAATTATAGTAGGTATTTCTCGTATTCCGGGTTGAGGCTCGAAAGACTTCCTGATCGAATGGTTGGAGACACTGAGGGTCATAGCTGCGAACCCACAGCAATGGCGATCTTGCTGTCACTTCTTATCAGACTAGAATGCTTGAAAACGAGTGTATGCGAAGTTGGACCATGTACTCTGTGCGTGGACCATAGAGGTTTGCTTTCTTTCCCCGCCCCAATCATCATCGTACAGTGAAATACAGTGAGGCGAACTTTAATAATCGCTGCCAAACTCGCAATGCATTCAAGATTGAAAGCATAGTTTCCGCGTAACGGATTTGAATAAAGAAGCCAAAAACACAGGTCAGCGGTAAAACTTAAGGTGGACAGGGAGCGGATCTATTTTGAGGATAGGGGATAAAGGTGGACCTCTATGATCAACATACAAGTACGCAAACAAACCCTGCATACATACCGTTTCAAGTATTCGGACAACAAGAACGCCACTGCTGTCGGTTCAATGCATATCCTTCAATGTTTCAGCCAACCAGTTGTGGAGTCTTTCGGACCCCAACCTGTAAGGCGCGTGACACCTCTACCTAATAGCTCTGTGCATTTCTTCATGCCTAGTCTCCAAGTCATTTGTTGACCTCCACGTAGTTTCCTCCAGCCTGGAGCGGTTGCAGAGTACAAGGTGCGATGTGGTAGACGGCAACTGGACCAACGCAACACGCAACTCCAAACACACGACGGCTTACCTTCACATCACTAACCCGTTGGCTCCATCCCTCGCGGGTAAATTGCTTAAAAACCGATAACCGAAAACTTCTAGTTGACGGATGTCCTCTACTGGCAAATACAAGGCCTCACAACCATAAAGCAGAATTAGCGCAGTATACACGACCTTTCAACTTCAGTGAAACGTCGCGTCTACGCCAAAGGTGTTTCAATCCTGAATACGATGCTCGAGCCTTGGAAATGCGAGCGGTTATCATCTTTGTTGTGCTACCGTCATTGGTCACGCAACTACCGTAGTAGGAAAAGTAATCCACAACAACTAAATCCTGACCATTTAGTGTCAAAGCGGAAGTAGATGAAAACCAATTCTGCAGCATTACTTTGTACTTTGGAGGTGCACAGCACATACCGAATGTGGCTACTGCACTTGTTAGTCTATCAAGTGCACTTTGCGCGTCCTCCATACATTCGAACAGGCATGATGCCATAGGTGTACTCTAAGTCGCACAGCTTTGGAAACCACTTAGTGCGTTCTCCAGTATTTTGTCTACGACGAAATTGAACAGGAACGGTGAAACAAGGCACCCTTGACGAA